GTGAGCAAGAGATCACCATTCAGACTGCTACTTTTGCATGACAAATATACAAGGACATTCTAAGAAAACCAAAGCATCAATTGTGTACCTACCCTAACTGTTCATCTGCAATAAAACCAGTTCCCCACAGTGTTGAATATCCTGTTCCAACTCCTCCTACAGACACTGTTCTTTATAACAAAGAAGAACAAAGTGGTGATGAAAAGGTTGATGTTGAATACAAACCAGATTACGACAAAGATAAACCTCACATGATCACGCAGGGAGAACTTAGTGATCTGGTAAGGGACCTTGAGTTAACTAAAAATAAAGCAGAACTCCTGGGGTCTAGATTACAGCAATGGAATTTACTGGACAGAGGAACTAAAATATCCCATTTTCGTGACCGGCACACCGAATTTGCAAAATTTTACAACAAGGAGGACAATATATGTTACTGTGTAGACATTGCTGGATTAATGACAAAATTGGATGATGAGTATGATCCTGTAGATTGGCGTCTGTTTATTGATTCTAGTAAAGTCAGTCTAAAAGCAGTTCTGCTACATAACGGAAATGTTAAACCATCCATTCCTGTAGCCCATGCAGTGGGTATGAAAGAAACATATGAATCTATGAAGACACTTCTTAAAGTTATAAAGTACACTGATCACAACTGGAATATCAGTGGGGATCTCAAAGTTGTTGCTCTTCTTCTTGGGATGCAATTGGGGTACACGAAACACATGTGCTTTTTGTGTCTGTGGAGCAGTCGTGATGATGCAAATCACTATCTCGTCAAAGACTGGCCTGCGAGAATTGATCCGGTACCTGGACAATTTAACATTCTTCACGAATCGTTGGTGAATCCTGACAAAATCTTCCTTCCTCCTCTTCATATCAAATTAGGAATATTTAAAAACTTTGTCAAGGCGCTACCTACTGATTCGAAAGGATTTATTTATCTTAAAGATAAATTCAAAACCACTCTCACAAACGCAAAAATAGCTGCAGGAGTTTTTACTGGACCACAGATACGTGAAGTTATTCGTGACCCAAATTTCAAATTACAACTAGAGCCTGTGGAGTTGCTGGCTTGGGAAGCGTTTGTGGCACTGGTTCAGAATTTTTTAGGAAACCACAGATCAGAAGACTATGTGAACTTGGTAGAAAACTTCATAATGGCATACCAAAACATGGGTTGTAGAATGTCTCTAAAAATCCATTTCCTCCATTCCCACCTTAGCTTCTTTCCTGCCAATTTAGGAGCTGTCAGTGATGAACAGGGAGAAAGATTCCATCAAGAAATCTCTGTTATGGAACACCGGTATCAGGGTCGTTTTGATAGTAACATGATGGGGGATTTCTGTTGGTTTCTACAGCGTGAAAGTGAAAGTCAATATAAGCGCAAAAGATCATTATCGACAAATTATTTTTATTAATTTAACTTTGAGACATTACCTATGTAATAATTTTGATTTAAATAAATAAAAAAACAATCTGATTATGAATATGTTTTGGTTTTGAGTATTCTTGAGCACAGCTGAAAATGGACTAATTTAGCACCTAAAATTCACAATCTTTTAGCTGTAACTTTATAACCTGACGTCCTATGACAAAAAGAATAGCAGATTTGTAATCAGCATACCCAAATTACCCTAGAACAACTAACAAAGTCTGAGTAGCAAAAAACTTGTTGCATAGTGTAATTAAATGTGGTCTTACGTGGGCTACATGTATAAATATAACTACACACACACACACACACACATCAAGTTCAAAAAGCAAAAAACCTCATAAAAAATAGAACATACCAGAATATAATTATCGGAGCATTAAGCCTTCTGGTATGATCAGCAAACATTAAAGAACAATTAGGATACAAGGCATTGTTTCTGTATGAAATTTATTTAGAAACTTTTTAAGATTTTTTACGCAGAGATTTGCCAAATTTATTTTTGAAGAAATTATTTTAAAAAAACTTATAAATACCGTTTTAGATTTTGACGCATTTTTGCAGTTATTTGTTTTCAAGTTTTTTTTATTCATAATAATAAAAAAAATACATTGTTATCTACGAAGGTGAGTTGCTTCATTGATTTCTTACTGCCATTCATACACAGATTTCAAACTGTGCCAAACAATAAACGTTGATCGATCACACAGCTATAGACTTTTTATGGCTCCGACGTTTTTGTAGATGCGTGTTAAAATTAAACACAAAAATATTCTGAATTTTTATAATTCATTCTTATGTATTTGTGACTAAATTAAGTTTTGAAAATGATATGTCAAAGTGTTTTTTATAAAACCTGCAATGTTTTCAAGTTTGACGCTGCAAAAAACTATTAGCATTACAACTCCGCGACGACAATTCATCGCGACGATAATTCATCGCAACGACAATTCATAGCGTGCCAACAGAAACAATGAGTTCGCTGCATGGTAATGAAAAATAATGGAGAATAATGAGAAATGATTTGCATAAAAAGAGTAGTGGCGCTCACAGCAGAAGCAAAAACGTCTTTGCATCTATAAACCAAAAGAACATTTGTGGAGTGAATATTTAAACAAATTCTACTAGATCCAACCCCTTTGCTAACTCGATAAATACGTTCTATTCCACACTTTATGAAATTATTTTAATATGTACAAATTGATGATTATCTGTATAAATATTTTAACCGTTTTTTACGCCCATGCAAGATGTTTCACCAGATTTGCAACTGACGGCAAATGTTTTTGTGCGTGCGATTCGCCATTCAGCAGCACAAAGTTCTCGATGGTCTCAGCGAGAGAGGCTGTCTTGTTGTGTTCCATGAGGTGCTCACAAACAGCTGACTGCGTGGCGTACAATTTCATCGAAGGTTCCAACCAGTGCCAACTCTTCAATCAAACTTCAAAAACATTTTCACTGGTGCCCAACTGTCAACATTTCACTAATCATGGTTTGTTTTGTTCCATGTAATTCTACAATTTATATATTTATTTAACATGCCTTCGAAAGACAGACTCCAAAAGAACAGAACGTTGTTAATAACTGCTGACAACATCCTAACTGAATTCTACGTCAATGGCAAAAGCATTTCAGTGAATGAAAATTTTCCGCATGCCACCAGTTGGGACATCCTTGATACTTACGCTCTGATTGGTCCAGTCTATGTTATCGCTGTGTTATCGCGTAACACGAATTTAAATGGTTATAAGTATTCTCTTATATCTAGAAATTTGAAATTAAAATTTCAGAACATTCAACTTTGTTTAATTCTCCAAAACATGCTATAAACAATTTTGTATTCAACTTGTAACAAATCGTAATAGGGGGTTTGATAGCAAAAACGCTGGACGGCTACATTTTGACTAATTCAACTTGGGAGTGTACAAATGATTTTCACGAAGGATGGTACAGAATTGATTATGACGATTCATCTTGGCCTGATGCCAAACATGCAAAACAAAATGCTGAAGACAACGTTTTGAATTTAACAGATGCTGTTTGGATTGTCGGTCCGAGAGATTGCAATAACTGTGATAATGTGTTTTATTGCCGAAAGAATATCATCAGTTAATATTTATAATTTTTTTATTGATAAATTTAATTTAAAAAACGTAAAATTATTTTAAAATTTAAAATTAATTTCAGATTTTGTGAAAGCGAGTTCATGTAAAGCTTTTCATTGAATCCAAGATAATTTTTTGGAATAGAAACGTTTCAAAACATCAAATTGAAAAAAATTTGATATCTTTGAAATACATTTTTCAGTCAACATTTTGCTAACAACGTAATGTACACTTGTGTTGTTCTGTGGAAATATTTAACAAAATTAAAATATCTCACATTTTTGGCAGCTATTATCATAAGTATCAAATTATTGTTTAAAAACCACAAAAATTCATTCCAAAAGAGTCGATAATTTTAAACTAACAAATATTTCCAAAAATTTTTAAATTGAAATAACACTAAATCACTTTTTTTACTGAAAACCATGAAAAACATATTTATTTAAACATCAAAGGTAACTATACGTCTTGAAAATTTATTTATTTGTTCAGAAAGAAATGTAAATATCATAGATCCTGCTGCTTAGCGACCTGCAAAAATTCTCAACAACCTGCCATAAAAGTCGACGCTTTGATGTTTCTATTGTTGTAAGACGATTTTAGCCGCAATATGTCTAAACTTATTAATTTTACAGAATTATTTTATTTTATATTATTATTAGCAAATGCGTATCTGAATGCAAAATGTTTTTCAAAATTTGAAATGAATGGTAAATGTTTTTGTGCATGCGGTTCATATTGTGATAGTTCAGTTGCTTTATCGGCACTCTCGCCTGAAGAAGCTTTCGTGTTTTGCTCAATGAGATGCTCACAAACGGTCAACTGTTTGGCTTAAAATTTTTTCACTGGCTCTAACCGGTGTCAACTTTTTAATCAAACCGCTAACAGGTTTTCCATTGTGTCTGACTGCCAACATTATTACATTAAAACAGGTGAGTTTCCAATTTATTTGAAACATATTTCTTAAAAAATTATTTTTTAATGACTCATTGAACCGGCGAAGTTGAGTTGTTCAACAAATCTTTGATGTTAACTGTGGATGACAAACTTCTGGAGTTTTACGTTAATGGAAAGTCGATACCAGTATCATCTAATTTTCAAAATGCCGAAAACTGGAAGGAAGCCGACAGGTACGATCTGGTAGGAGACGTCTTCGTTCTCCTGCTAACTTTTTTAAATAAACATTTATTGCTGGCATTTTTGTACACAACTTATTTCAACAGGCGTGATAAAGATTTATCAATTAAAGTGATTTTACCTTCACATCAAGATAAAATTGAACAGAACGTGATTGCATGCTTTAATAACTACTACTTATGATTATTTTGCGTTGATGTTTTCAACTGTAAAAAAATTACAAATCGTTGATGAAAAAAATTTTTTAATGTCAATTAAACAGGAGGTTTGATAGCCAAAACATTAGACAACTACATTCTAACAAACTCGACTTGGAGATGCACCAACAACACATACGATGGCTGGTATGAAGTTGGTTACGATGATTCAGACTGGCCTGCTGCAGTGGTGGGAAAAAGAGAAAAAGACAAAAAATATTTCGTTAAGAATTTCAAACCTGCTCAATGGATCACTGATGAATCTGATTGTAAAAGTTGCGCTTCCAACTTCTATTGCCGTAAGAACTTCAAAGGTGGACAGTGCGACGAGTTAATGATTTGTATAAATTAAACAATTATTGTTTTTAAACATGTTGTTTTCCACAATTTATATGAATGAGTTTCTTAAAATGTTTAAAACGGTTGTAGAACAAACCTTAAATTTTAGTTCATGAATACTTTCATTTGCAACAATCCAACTCTATCATTCATTTCAAGTGTTTTACTGCATTAACAAATGCTCTCTTTTTATCATATAATTTTGGGTGTACTAGACAAACGTTCAAATTCTTACTTTAGATTAGTTTTTAATTTAAATTTTAGTCCATTGTACTAACAATTTTTTATTGAAAAACTTTTTATCTGACAGAATTTGTTTCACCGACTAGTTGTGATTTAAATCAACCAGCCAAATGAACCCAGTTGAGCATCATTTCCAACAATTATCTAACAGTTTCAGATGTTTTAATTTATCGGCTATTATTAAATATTCTGGTTGTTTTTAACAAAATAACTTTTATTATTTTAATAATTGTTGTTGGTTACAATTAACATTTCAATATTTCTTCAAATCACTGACTAGATGTAGCCCATATTGCACACATTTTATTACCTCTTACGGTTTCTGAACATGAATTGAAAATTTTTCAATAAAGTTTTACAAATTTAGTTGAAGCATAATTTGGGATGTAATAAATTCATTAAAAATACTCCTGCTACAAACATTCAATGCTTATATTAATTAGACGCATGGATAAACGATGAAGTAAGAATGTTATTTCTCATCTATCAAAACCTCATCTCTAGTAATAACCTCTTGAATAAACAGTGTGTTTATGTAATAAATGTAATAAGCATTTGATGCGCTAGTTTCGTCCCTATCGTCGCGTATCGAGGCGATCTTTATAAAGCGCCTGCTGAAGCCATTTCTCTTTCCGTTGTACAACTTTTGCTTTGTTTAATCACTGAGAAACCATGTTATTATAACATTGTTCAAACTTGAAGATGTACAAATAAATGTCTACTAGAGAATGGATGAAACATTCATGAATGTGTCGAAACCTAGCACGTCATCTCACGTGGTTGCAAGCCTCCAAGCAGGTTCAACATGTAATCCTTCAATCGTATTTGAAAACATTTCTACGCTGCAAAAACAAAATTTTGACATTAACATGAATAATATCAGCGCGGATGATATCAGTAGCGATAATGTGATGAAAAGCGCTTATTTCTCCATCAATATGAATGAGGAGAATAGTTTCAATAAACCGTTGCAGAATTTGATGGGGCTGCCTAAATTTATTACTTCAGAGGATTTTAGAATAAATCCGACATTGGATACGGTCAGAACTCAATATTACGAAAGAGCGCAACTTATGAAGTCTTTCCAAGAAATTTCAATGATTGGGTAAACATTTGTTATTCCTTTTTTATACTTAAAAAATAATCCCCATACACACTATAACATTTTTAAAATTTAAAAATATTAAAAATTACTTTAATTATAAAAACAAAAAAATTTGTTTGAAAACATTTTTTGTGGTTAGCTCGGCCCATTAAAAATGCTCACCAATCATTTCGTTTTATCATTCCATACGCAGTGCCACGCATAATACACGATTTTTTAAACTAACAAATATTATATTATTTTGAAAACTGGATGCAACCTTGAAGTTTCAAATTCTCGTAAAATTAAATTCACATAATGATTCTAATCAGTCTAAATTTTTATCTGTTTGTTTTTTATATCCACTCAACTATCATAATTTGAATAAGGGTGAAACATTCTCTGAACGCCAATCGATCCATTGTAAACAGACTTACATGGGCCACCCTTGTCATCATGGCCATCTGCCTGGCAATCTTCCAGATTCACGATCGTTTCGCATTATACCTTCAGTACCCTACGTCCACAGAAATTGATATCGTGTCTTTCAATAACATGACCTTCCCTCAAGTCACCATCTGTAATAATAATTATATCAAGCTCTCCTCAGCTCAACATCTAGGTGACCTTATATTTCATTTGTATTCAAACTTACATGAGCATCTTGTTTTCAGTTAATTTTTTAACAGAACAATATAACGGTTTGGCAGGTTTAGTGGAATACTTCAAGCAATTTATGCCACCGTTCCAACTTGATGTGATCGCCAGCAGAGCTCAACTGAAGATTCAGCCACCGAGTTATGAAAACCAATCTGAGCTTGTCCAAGCCAGAAGATTTTTATCATCTGGCAGCGATGAACTTCATTATGTTCGCTCATTTATTCTTATTATATTTTATTTAAATTTAAAAAAATTTGTAAATATTGGGTTTTTTAGTTACCGAATAAAAATTAAACTTGTTTAGTGGATGTGGAATAGAGAGACCTGCTCAAGCGAATCTGTAGAGTTGAGATTCACAGACGCCGGTCAGTGCATCTCAATCAATCCAAGTAGGTACTTACTTACTCTGATGAATGATATCATCATTAATATTCATGTGTGGCGTAACTGGTTTGAATTAAAATTCTAAAATTTTACAGAGCTGGTTATGATGAGTTGCTGAATTTCATTAAATTTTACATTTTTTTCTCATTAAAACCTAATGATCCACTAGTAAACCATCGTGATAACTTTTTTAATTCCAATTTTAGCAGCTCTTGCTAAAATAAAAAACTTTTAAACTGATGGTTATCAAATATTTATTTTATTTAATTATAAATTATCAGAAAAGAATAAAATGTATGTCAACAAACCTGGCGCCGAGATGGGTCTCTTACTCGTTCTTGTGGCCAACCGATCAGATTACTTCATACAGAGCTCATTTTCGTCCGGATATCGAGTAACTTTATTAAATTTTTAGTAACTTTAAAAGTTATTTAACAAATTTTGTTTTGTGAACATCAATTTTAACATCTAATACATCAAATATGAAAAAAAAAACTCTATCCAGATTTTGTTGCACGAACCAGGAGAGCCCCCTCAAATGCAGGAGCATGGGTTCATGGTCAATCTCGGTGAAGAGGTCAATGTCGCCCTATCAGCCACCAAGGTCAAATTACGTATTAACTTATTTTTGACAGATTTCTTTCAAAACCTAATAGAAACACTTAAAAACTTGGTTTTGATGTACCATTTAATAAAATACTTTTTGGATAACTGTCAAAAAAGTCGTCATGTTTTTGAAACAATTTTTTTTTGTGAATATTCAAAAAACGAATTAAAAATTCTGCTCTATTGTTCTCTAGAGTCTCTACACCTCCAAATTCGAATCTATTTTTATTTGCTTTTCACGATTTTCAAATTGATAAATCGATTGTATATACGTATGTAGATACAAATAAATAGTTGAGACACACTGACGTTGCAGACAATCAGACAACCGGCTCCTTATGGGACTTGCCGAGACCTTCCAGATTATGATCAGACCGGATGTGAGTTGAAATGTCTGGCTGAAATAATCATCAAAAATTGTGGATGCAGACCCATTCACATGGAAGGTGCATTATTGTAATCTTCTTTGTTCTACGATAGAATTATATTACAAATTAAATATTTATTTTTAGAGATTGGCAACGAGTCGATATGTGATTATTTTGAAGAGAATAGTTGCGTTGTAACCGTCATTGGCGACTATTACGTCGGTAAGTTGAACGACACCATCCTATGTTCCTGTCCACCGATGTGCAACGAAATAAACTACGAAACATCTATCACCGGCTCAAGATTCTCCAGATATATTTTTGATGTTATAAAAAAAAGAATGGCAGAAAATGAAACTCAAGAAGATTTCCAAGAGAATGCTGTGGTCGTGCGTATATACTTCAGTAGTCTGCAGTACACGAAGATCACAACGGTGGTGGCTTACTCGGTGATGGCTCTACTCAGTGACCTCGGCGGAACGTTCGGTCTACTCCTTGGCTCAACCTTCCTAACACTCGTTGAAGTTTTTGAATTATTGTGGGATCTCTTTCTCTATGTTCTTCTGAAGAAAAAAATGAAAAAAGAAACAGTTGTTAGCAAGTGAATAATTTAGTGTTTGGTAAACTTGCCAAAGATTTAAAAGTGTCTAAAACTTTTATTTGTTAACAAACTATTGCTGGTCAGAAACATTTTATCAAATTTAGATGTACATTTTTTGAACACGTCTTACTAACATGTTTGTTAATATTTTAGGCGTTCATCTATTTTTCCAAGCATGTTTAGATTTATATAATTTAGTATAAGTTTCCATTTCAATGTCATTCTATTTGCTTATTTTTTAATTACCTTTCAAGCATCAACGGAAAGTTCCAATTTGGTGTGAATAAAATGAAAATGAATTAACTGTCAAGATTTGTTTGTCTATGCCCGCCCCCCCCCCTCATTTTTGAAGCTGCAATTAATATTTTAAAATAAATATTATATTTAATATTCTTTAGAAAGAAAAATCATAAGCACATAAAACCAGAACAATTTCTCACAAGGTTCGTTCATCCAAAATTGCAAATAATCATAAAAATTCTACGTTAGAAGTCGTCACTTGCCAAAAACATTGAAATGAAATAAAATCAGCAGTTCGAAAAACGCAAAGCATTTGAAATTCATCATGATAGACTTATTTACCACAAGTGACACGTGCACAAGGCACATGACAAACACACGATACAAATGAATCGAAACTATGTAAACACTATCAAATGAAATACATCCGACTAGACCAGGGTTGGGCAAATTACGGGCCGCATGCGGCCCGCGAAGCTATTTTATGCGACCCGCAAGGCCTTGTTTGCCTAAAAAAATGTAGCAAGGTCGTCAGCCAGACGTTATGACCAAAAAAAGAGCCAAAATCTTAAAAAATTCAACCCCGGGTCGAAAAAATTTGCTATTTATGTACATAGGCGGCCCTTCAAAGGAAAAATAGTTCTCAATGAGGCCCTCACAGCAAAAAGTTTGCGTACCTATGGAATAGACAGTCTGTCAAATTAATTGTTGTACCTTTTAATTAATTGTTAATTATTAATTAATTAATCATTAATAACTAATTAATTATTTTCATTTGTAAATGCGCGTAATAGTAATTGTGCCTACATTTAATAATACGACATTGATCGCAAATACATTAGCTTTTAAAACAGTGTTGTCCAATCCGATAAATGCATCAATGGCTTTTAAGCCCGCTTTTTATTTAATAAGCGATGATTTAATTAATGTTCTTTCAAAACCCTCATTGCTTTCATTATCTATATTCCAAGATTGTTTTGTGATATTTAGAATTACCAGTCTTATCTATAATTTATTTCGTTAAATAAAGAACGATGAAAAAAAATGTCTAAATAGTAAGTATGATTTCATATGGACAAGGATGTTGCGACTCGATGAGTTCAAGCCACCAAGATGACATCCAAACAGTCGCAAGTAAATCAGATGACGCCAAAATGTTTGTTAATGTTTCTCAAGCTGATGAAAATAATCAAGCAAGTCGGTAATAGTTTAACTTTTAGTCAAATTTGTAAAAAATTTGCCAGATAGTTTGTAAATGGTTATAATTATAAGGCTTTTAAAAAATTTATAACATTGAAGATATAACAAATGTATACATTTTTCCAAAAATTTTACACTATCTGCTTATTTTATATCTACTCTAGCTGCAACTCAAAATGGTTCTTTCGTTTGTCGCATTAATATTTTGAATAACTAATAAAATAATTTTGTTCATGAATTTTTACACTTGATTTTCTATTTTAAAGCAACATTAAATTTAAAACAGAAATTCCGATACCCTCATCAGCTGATTATGATAAGAAGAAGTTAGTTTCGATCGATTGTGACAAAGGCAAGTTTGTTTTATTCAAAGAATTCAAAATAAGCAAAATGTGGAAGCATCGGAGCTCTGCCAACGAAGATAACGAGGAACATTTATTTCTAATCAAAGCAGAATTGATAAAATCCATTGATGAAATATCAATTATTGGGTTTGCGTTTGACATTTTAGGATTTTAACATTCTCAAAAGATTTTTTAATTTTTCTGGGTGGCTACATCTGATGAAAAAAACTTTGTTAATGATTTAAAGAGGTTCGGATCTTTTCAGCGTTTTTTTTGGATATTCTTGCTAATTTAAAGAGCAAGTCTTTTGTTTTAGTCACGTTCTATTCACAGTGCTTTTCAAATTTCTGCAAATTCATACTTACAATAGAACATTTTATTTGAAATAAATAGTTCACTATTACTTAATTAATTCTATGAAAGCCAAATTTAAACCCAAAGTGCAAATATAATAATCTGCAAATATAATGATTTAATTTGTTCCCGTGTCATCCTAAATATCCAACAACAAGTTATGAGAAAAATATTTTATCCTGTTAATTGTTATTCCAAAAAAAGTGTGAAACAGTGTGGGGACAGCAATCGTTCGATCTTGAACCGCGTCATGTGGTTCATCTTCATTTTATTCGGAATAACTCTGGCAATGTACCAGGTTAATGATCGTCTGATGTATTACCTGACCTACCCAACATCAACTGAATACGATATTGTACCTTTTGACAACATACTGCCTCAAGTTACTGTTTGCAACAACAATTTCATTAAAAAATCTTCAGCTGAGAGTCTAGGTAAATGTCGGCATCATCATTTTTGTGTTTTTGAAAATTACAATGCAATGTAATTAATTTTCAGGTCTGGTAGAATATTTCAAAACATTAGAAGATGGCGAGCATGATTTTTTTAACAAGACGGGTTCTATTGAAGAAAGGAAATTTTTATCTCCAGGTCTCGAACAGATGGTATTTGTAAGTAAGATTTTTATTCATTCCATCTATAGGTAATTTTTTGTCAAATTTTCATGATTGTTTTCACGATTTTTTTAGTTCTTCAATTTTTCTAAATAAAATAAAAACAATTTTTAAAAGGCGCTAAATTGTGAACTGTCCAGACTTGAGACAACTCAATCGTCTTACGTGAAACTACAAAATTTGTTGTTCCTTATGTATATTTTTGCTATTTTTTATTAATTTGTCTAAAGTTCAAATTGTTTATATTTTCATTGTTATATTATTGCTTCATTTTGTTGACGGCTTTCAAGTTTCGTTTAAAATTTTGAAGCCAGCTGACAGTAAGACTTTTCAGAAAACTTTTCCATTGGTGATAATAATTCATAACCTGATTGAAAATTTTAATGAACTTGTTTTTTGGATTTTGCTGAAAATATTAAAATCAAATAGGTTTCAAAATGCCTATATAAATATAATTTGAACGTAACTCATTTAAACACAGTGTTCCTGGAATGCTTTGCCGTGTTACAATGAAACTATTGACACCACGTTCACAAACGCTGGCCAGTGTATTATTTTCGATCCAAGTATGTCTAATAAATTGCATACATTTCTATTTTTATAAATTATTTTATGCAAGTTCATCGTTTAAATTCACTTAATTTCTTAATTTATGACACTAGAAAACTTTGAAAAGTCCAAAGCAGACTTGGATTTCTATATAAAATTGTATAATAATTTTAATCCTATAACACTGGCTTTCATTATATTAGCAATATATATCCACTATTATGGATATTAAAAAAGATTTTTATAATTTTGGCTAACCTATTCGTTTAAAATAGATATTTACAATTGAATAACAACTTTTCCAAACCTTCTTTAAAAATTTTTATCAGGAAAAAAAAAATTTGATAATATTACTGGACCTGGTGCAAGGATGGGTCTGCAATTGATTCTGTTTGTCAACCAATCTGATTACTTGATACAGAAAGGCTTTACTCTTGGATTCAACGTAATTATTTCTAATCAATACTCACTTTTTCAAAAAAGTTGGCAAACATTTTAAAAAGCTATTAAAAATATTAAAAAACAATTGTAAAAGCTTAATTAATCTTTCGAGAAACTTTTTTGTAAAGGTTATGGTTCATGAACCGGAAGATCCACCCCACGTGTTGGATCTTGGTTTCAAAATCAACGTTGGTAAAGAAACCAATGTAGTTGTGTCGGTCACAAGTGTTAGTTAAAGCAGAAAGTTCAGCTGTTTTACATATAGATAAAAACATTAAACTAGAATCGTTATTATATTTGAAAATTGAAATGATTTGTAGAATTTTTGGAAAAAATAGTGAAATTTATTCGTAAAAAATGATTTGAAACATCAAGAAATTGCATATTATCACTTCATAGATAACTAGACTGAAACCTCCACACGGAAACTGTAAGGATCAGTTAGGTTATAATCAAGTCACATGTAAGTTGAGATGTTTAGTGAGGGAAGTTGTCAACAACTGCGGCTGTAGGCCCATCTATTTGAAAGGTTACACTATAAAAAACATGTTTTCACAATCCATTTTAAACCTCTGTGTACACTTGAATTTTAGGTATTGGCAACGAATCGATATGTGATTATCACGATGAGATTCACTGCGTTGATAACTTATATACCGATCTGCATAAAGACTCAGGTAATGCTAATTGCTTCTGCCCACCAATGTGTAACATAATAACCTACCAAACATCAGTCACAAGTTCTAAGTTTTCCAACATTAACCTTCCTTCTATCAAAAAATTCTTTGACAAAAAATCACTCGAATTCAATCAAAGCGATATATCAGTTTTGCGTGTATTCCCTAGCAGTATGCAACACACAAAAATTTCATGTGTCAAAGCTTATTCAGAGTCGGCGCTGTTGAGTGACCTGGGCGGTGCCTTGGGATTCCTTTTGGGATCAACTTTCCTCACAGTTTTCGAAGTTTTTGAACTCGTTTGGAATCTCTGCTTGTATGCATACGCCAGGAAAAAATATCGACAAGAGTTCGAGTTATGTAGAATAGTTTTTTTCATTGTAATAAAACAGCTGCTTGTACTGATTATTGTTTGAAGATGTTATAGACTGGAAACATAATTAGAAAGTTAACGCTTTTTTGAAACTATTTTATGTTACATAAATGTCTTAACAATGTAGGCTTATAACGGAAAATCATTTTATAAATAATACTTAATGTTCTGTTAGAGTTTTCATTTGAAAATTAATATATACATTTTTTAAAATCTGTTTTTAAAATATTAAAATGAAAGTGGAAGAAATAAAATAAATGAAAAAACTGGTCCAAAATTAAAACGTTTAGTTAAAATCTAAAAAGAAACAGAAAAAGTCAATCCAACTTCAACTGCGATGTATATGGAACGACATGTGTCTATGGTACATACTCGAATTGACGTATTTCAGTTGAATTTGGAGATAAGACTAAAATAATTTTTAGAAGTGATATTCACTCAAACGTATTGTATAAATAAATTTTTTGTCATTTTAATTGCAGTACGTAGTCATTCATGAAAATAGTTTCATTTTCTTAAAAAGAACTGTTTGCAACAGTTTCCATTAGCAGCTTTCATCACAGCTCTGTTTACTTATTGATGATTTTAAGGTCCGGCAACTTAGTTGAACAAACAATTACAAAATCTATGTATACCGATTGATTCTAACAAAGCACAAAGTCGTCATATAATGTACATGCATTTCTTTCCATTGTCATTCATTATAACCTAGATGAATGACAACTTATTAAATCCTTACAGAATGTATTGAATTAAATAATGAAAGAGACATCAAGAAAACCTACTAGAAGCACTCATTCACGTGTCATTCAAACATCTTCAAATCTATCCGAGGTTGATGAGATTGTCACCGACAACCAGAAAACGAATGGGGGAAATAATATGAGAGATGAAAATATTTGTGGGGATATTGTAATGAATAAAACTCACAAGACTGAGAGCAACTCAAATAATGATGGTAATACTAGTAATCAAAACATTCCGACTCCAAATATTCCCACTAAGGAAAGAAATACTTCCTTCCAGTCAACCAACAGTAAAAAAAAGAAGAATAATTTAATTTCATTTGAAAAATTTAAATTAAACAAAATATGGACGTCGACCAGTTCGAGCAATGATGGAGACAGAGACTTCTACGTGATTGAGGCAGAACTGATGAAGTCTATAGACGAGATTTCTATCATTGGGTTCGAAATTTTTTGGTTAAATTTATTCTAAATTTTATTCTCAATTTTATTTTACAATTTTTTAGTATAAGATATTCGATGGATAAGAATCGATCTCTAACAAATCGCATCATGTGGGCTGTCCTCATCTTCCTTGCGTTCGGTCTGGCGATTTACCAGATAAAAAATCTCGTTGAGAACTATCTGAAGTATCCGACATCGACTGAAATTGACGTTGTCTACTCTCAACAAATAAACTTCCCTCAAGTTACAATTTGTGACAATAATTACGTTAAAAAATCGGCAGCTGAATATTTTGGTATAACTTTGTTTTCAAATTCAAATTCTGTCTTATCAAAACATAAAATTATTTTCAAGGTTGGGTAGATTACTTGCAACCGTTGACACCTTCTGCGAAAATATATCTTGACAGGAAAAATTATACAAAGTATCGTCAAGCAAAGCCTGCCAACAACACTGAAATTGTCAAAAAAAGAAAATTGTTGTCACCTGGAACTGAACAGATTGTAGATGTTAGTATTGTTCGTAATAATTTTTTACATGTAGAAATGATAAATTAAATTTCTAAAATTGTTATTTGAAATTTTTAGTTTAATTTTAAAAATTATGATAGATGTTTTGGAGTATCAAAGGTTTGCCAACAGAAAGCATGGAAACAACCTTTACAGATTTTGGGCAGTGTCTCGTTTTCAACTCAAGTCTGATTTTTATACTAAATTTCTTCATTTTATTTTATTTTCCGTTTTGTTTCTTGTTGAATTTTTATTAAGACCGTATATTTATTATAGACATTATATTATACACTATTTTAAAAAAATTATAATTTTTAAATAAAAATGTTAATTATTTGAAGTTTAAAATCATTCGTTACGATTTTTAATTTGTAGAAAACTATAAACGGCTTCTGAATGGACCCGGCCCAGCAATGGGATTTCAAATTCTTCTGTTCGCCAACCACTCGGAGAGTTTTATTCGAAAAGATTATCCATATGGATACAGAGTCTGTTGTATTATTTATTCGTGTTTTAATTAAAAATGTTTTAGTCAGTTTACAAAAATTGAAAAAATCAGTTTTTTTAAACAACGAGTTCCCTTTTTTTCAAACTGTCTACGCATCGGCAGGTCTTGATAAATGACCAAGACGAACCAATTCGAATGAAGGAACATGGCTTCAAAATTAACCTCGGTGAAGAAACTGATGTTGCTGTATCCGCCATTAATGTTAGGAAATTTTAAATTAAGACTTTCTGATAAATTATCATTCAACATCTCTTTAAACAATCGCTGGTTTGATAACGAGATGTCAAAATCAGAATTTTGATTTTTTAAACTTTGAACTCAGTAAGTTATCCTGCCTTAAATCAAAAAAATATAACATTTATCGATACTTTTCTATCTGTAGATATCAAGAATGAAATATCCACATGGAAACTGCAATGATGAGTTGAACTACCATCAAGTGAAATGTGAGCGGACCTGCCTCACTCGTGTAATCATCGACAACTGCAACTGCAGACCCATCTACATGCAAGGTTGTTCCATTTTAAAAAAAAAATTAAAACTTCTTTTCATATTAATTTTCAAAATATTAATTGCAGAAATTGGCAACGAATCGATATGCGATTACATTGAAGAGATTTGTGTTGATGAAGTCACGTACCTCTACTACACTCGGAAATTTAATGTTTCTTGCTCATGTCCTCCCATGTGCAACGAGATCAACTACAAAATGTTTGTGACTGGAGCCAAACTTGGTGACATTACCGGATTTGTCCTGAAGAACAAATATAAGCAGTTAAATAGTGGCAATTATTCGATTTGGAATGAATGCATGTTTCTGAAAGTGTACTTCAGCAGCATGCAGTACACAACGATAACATCAAAGGCGGAATACTCCGAGATGGCACTGTTGAGTGACTTGGGAGGAGCACTGGGACTTCTTCTGGGATCAACTTTTTTTACCGTCGTCGAACTTTTTGAAGTTTTGTGGAATCTGGTTATCTACGCATTTGTCAAGCGGCAGAAAACAAATATTGGTTAATTGGTAAGTTTCCAGGAATTGTATGGAAGAGAAAATTTTGTGATCACACACAGGCGCGCGCACATACACACACACATACATACGTACATACATACACACATACATACATACATACATACATACATACATACATACATACATACATACATACATACATACATACATACATACATACATACATACATACATACATACATACATACATACACACATACACACATACACACATACACACATACACACATACACACATACACACATACACACATACACACATACATACATACATACATACATACATACATACATACATACATACATACATCCATACATCCATACATACATACATACATACATACATACATACATACATACATACATACATACATGCTTGCTTGTTTGTTTTTCGATTTGTTTGTATAGATTTACTTTTCAGAGAATAAAAGATATGGTGTCCTGATGCCTCAAAAGAATTAGTTTAATGAAGCCCTTCTTGAACATATAGACAATCTTATGAAATAAAATTTTATGTTTAAAGTTGAAAAATTGTTTTTCCCTCTACATAATATTACTAGTACATTATAAATTATTAGTTTGTGATTTTTAAACTAAAAATTTACTAGAGACAATTTATTTTTAATTGATATTCCGTGATGTTATAGAAAATAACAATTATTTATATATATGACAATTTAATCATATTCAAGGGATCTGTTTTTATTAGGATGAATTTTTAGAAACAGATATGAATTATGATAACATGGGAAAGTTAAATAAACAGCAAGTCAAGCTAAAAATATAAATACAAATAATCACAAATGAAATAAAGTAGGCGGTATAATTTTTTGTTAATCTCTGACCAGGTATGATTTGGGGCTTTTGACTGAATAAAAAAACTTATTAAGAACCGGAAACCCGGAGTCAAAGACGAGAGTTGGTATGTCTTTTCCGGATTCGATTACAAATCAAAAATTGGTCGTAACCGTTTTGTGAAAATAAGAACAACAAAATTACAAAACTGACCTAAACATACACCACTTTGAAAGCAGGAAATATGATTTGAAAATTTGTTGTTTTAATGCGATGTACACTCAGATAAAAAACTTTGAAAAGTTTAAAAAGTGCGTTAATGACAGGTGAAATTTTTTTAAACATCAGTTATATGTTGTTGAATAGCATACGTACTAATTGTGTAGGTACATGTCGTTAGGCTAGAATGAAAAAATCAAGTTCCCTGAAAAATTTTGTCATTGTTTCAAAATTGTTAGCAATTATGTGGCAAATAACACGTGTGGTGTTTGAAATTAGAAAAAAGTTACTAACTCTTAAAATAGCAGTATAATCTATTTATCTATATTGAAAATACTTTGAAATCATAACACTTTCGTAGTTTAATTAAACCCTAAATATTAAACTATTTTTCAAATATTTTTCGGAAAAAAAAACAAACAGTCAAAATTTCATTGTGAAAATTGTGATGGGGAAACAATGGCTCGTCATTTAAATTTTTAACGAGTCTGCCACATGTGTTGGTTGTACCAGGTGTCATCTATCCACCACCAGCCAAGTAGCTACGTGATATAATATCAGACAAGCCAGAAAATCAACTTTTATTTGAGATTTTATTAATTTTTTGATGAAATACTTGGTTAATATCAAATGAAATATGGAAATAATTTGTAAATTACTTGTTGCTACTGCTGAAAAATACTTTTTTATCTGTTTGTCGACAATTATATCCGTGCAAGCAAGTGCTTCACAAAATTTGAAATCAAATGCGATTCATTCAAATAATTTATTGGTCTTAAATTCAAATAATAAACTTTAGCCCTCCGATTTCTGCAAAGTATATCTTACGTAAAAATAATTGTATACTTTTTAGATACATTTCATTCTGGGAAAATTTCCTACTTAGATATTTTTTAGACAGGATCGAAAATAGTTTTGTACGGAGTAACAATATGTTGAGTTCTATTGTATTGTTGTTGGAAATACAAAGAGCGTAAGTTAAAAAATTGAAAGGCTTGTTTGCATACAAACCGCTTCTGTTGACGTTTCACAAACATTTTTTTTGTTTTTACGACTAACTATAAACGGCATCATTTTAGATCGGCGTAACTGGCAAACAGGCAGGTGATACAATTCTCAACTGACGCACAATTTCGTAAAATTGTTGGTGAAATGTTTCAAACTGATGAAACATAAAAAATGATTCGAGTTATAATTTTTACTGTATTCATTTATTTCGTGTCCGTGCAAGGAAAGTGTTTTAAAAGGTTGGAAATTAACGGCAAATGTTTGTGTACCTGTGAACCACCTTTCAACACTTCAGTCAACTTGACGGTTTCAACTGAAAAGGCGCTCATGATGTGTTCATTGAAATGTTCACAAGCGAGCAACTGTGTGGCTTACAACTTTTTCAGAAATTTCAAACAATGCCAACTCTTTGACAGGAAGTTGACAAAGTTTTCCTTCATACCGGGTTGTGTGTATTATTACGAGAAAGGTGAGTTAAGTTACAAATTTTTACAACAGATTTTATTATTAAAATCAGATTAAATTGTATTGTTAATGTTTTAAAAGTTGAACCTAGAAATAGAACGCTTCGCTTTTCTGTGGACAACGTGCTTGTTCAATTCTACGTTAATGGCAAGAATATATCAGTTTCCGACAACTTTCAAAACGTTAGTGTTTGGGAAAAAGCCAAAACTTACAATCTCCCAGACCAGCTGTACAACATTGCTATCAAATCTTACAATGATGGGAATGTCGGTATGTTAGATAATTATTTTACAAAATCGTTAAATTCAAAATTTTTCGATTCCACATTCTTTTTCTGTTAAACCTTCTTTGATCGATTCGTGGTGTTTGTTTCATAATTTGGAATTTTCTAAATATTTTCTTGGTTCAAGTAAAAATAACATTATTGCTTTTAAAAAACCATTGAACTCAGGTGGCCTGATAGCCAGATCCTTGGATGATTATGTCCTCACGGACAGAACTTGGAAATGTATTAAGGAAGCAAATGATGATTGGTATAAAATTGATTTCAATGATTCATCATGGCCTGCTGCAGTTAACGAGATTGAGAAGAAGCATGGTAATTATTTCTCAAAAGAAGATGCTGCAAATGCCAATTGGATTTATTTTCTTAATGGATGTAATAATACAGATTGCAAGGTTGATTTCTACTGCAGAAAAAGTTTCATCGGTACGTTTTTAGAATTGAATATGTGAAGAACGTTAATAATTATTTGTATTTTTTTCTATTTAGAGTTTGTCCATGCAGGTTCTTGCTTAAATACGAAATGATTCCGTAAAATTTTCGAGATGAGCATGTTCTTTTTTCAACAAGTTGATGTTTGAAGTTACATTTAATAAATTTACCTGTTTTAAATTTCGGTAATAAAATTGATAAATTTTTAGAATTAGTTAGAATTAAATATAATTTGGCAAACAAATGAAATTAACTTGCAAATTGATTACTATAATTTGATTTTTCCTGAATTTAAAAAACTCATCGTTAAGATTTAAGCTTGTAACAGTCATTTGCTAGTTTCGTTTTCATCTTTCATGTATTTAAGGTTTTTAATAAATTTTTTGAAAATTTATATTTCTCTAAATGGATACATACTTGTTTAATATTTGCACCTCTCATATAACTTAAATTGCACCAATTTAATCAAAAAAACAATTATAAATTGTAATGTTTATCTATTTATTCATATTTAATCAATAAAAATATATTAATATTCTTTCTTTTTTTAAATTTGTCATTTCAGATATTTAATCTACTTAGATAGTTTTCTTCAATAAAAGCAAATCTTCAAAACGTAATAGTCTACAGTGTTTTCTTCCTCTTTAACCCAAATGACTATAACTTCTGAAATGAAACACTATATAAATAATCGCAGCTTTGATAAGTTTGAATAAAATAGTACATGTGATGACTTAACAAAACTTAGTAGGGTAGGCACTAGGTTAGGTAGAGAAGGGTTATTTTTTGATTTGATAATAATCACCTGTATGGCTGGATATCTCTGGATAAAAAAAATAAACTTAAATTTAAGTGCATTTGTGATAAGTAGAATAAAAAAGTTGATGAAAAATATGTGAGTTTGTATGTAAAACGATAGAATAGAAGTCTGCGCAGTAAACTCTGTTAGTTAAATTTGTATTAACATATTAACAGGCGGATTGATAGCAAAAACATCAGATGGATACTTCCTGGCCAATTCGGCATGGAAATGTAAGCGGTCGTTTATACAGTGGTTGCTACGAGATGGGTTACAATGATTCAGGCTGGCTGTTGGGTGACAGAAAAAATGATATAAATAACTTCATGTCAAAATTAAAATCATCTCAGTAGATTAAACCTGCTAAAAATGGAAATACCTTTACAGATGTTTTGCCGTATAAACTTAATAGGTATCAAATAATACTTTATCGTCTAATTGGAGGCTTTAATTCAAATTTTTAATTTTAACTAATTTATGACTACAAATAAAAAATATATTGTTACCATATGCCAAATCAAATTAAGGATATAGACGTAGACGTATATAGTTATAGGCATAGACATAGACATAGATTAGACATGGGCATAGACACAGGTTAGACGAAGGTATAGACCAAGGGGAAGCCTATTTACCATTATACAACACTTTCTTAAGGGTTGAAGCAGGGATATGCAAAGAATCTCAATTTTTGCAACTTTTAATTATTTTCGGTAATGTTGATTTTATTTGTTTAAATTTATACCAAATAAAAGTAATTAATTACCATATTGAATAACAATTTAAAAAAATAAAGTTTTAACATTTTGAATAAAAGCAATATTCCGTAATTAGTAAATATACAATCGTAACTTTTGACTCGAACGATAAAAAATTACCCTCCATCTCCCCTCCAGAATTAAGCTCCTTGTTCAACCGTTGAAAGTGAGCGAAGGCCGTTATATTTATTCTAGTTATATGTATCAAACAGTATCTTATTGAACAAAATAGTATCATAAAATGACTAAAGATACTTTTTTTTAATTTAAAAAATTCTCAATTTGATTTCATTGCGATATCGATGATGATGATGATTGTGACCTGACTAATTAAAAAACATCAAATAAAATTTATAAAATAGGATGGGCATATAGGATAGGATATCGTTGAGAAATCGTTGGGGGAAATGACGTCATGTTAACAGTAGTTATTTCACTAGATGGTAGTTGATCAGCCTGTATAAAGGTTATATTCAATTCCTATCAAATAACTTTAACCAAATATCATATGCAGGCAAAACTAAATAAAGAAATATCAGTGATGACGTAAGTACTCAAAAAATGTACTTAAGTATAAGTACTCAGTAATAAAAGTACTTAAGTATAAGTACTAAGTACCGAAACAGATTGTATACTTGATACTTATAAGTACTAAGTATAAGTACTAAGTACCTAAGTACATACCATGGTTAATTTGAAATATTTATAAATTTATTAAACTCAGAAATCAACTCATTATTTACAGTAATTTATTTACATCAATAAAAGAGTTTGTTCTTTTTGAGTAAAAGTAAAGTTTCAAATGATTCATCACTTAAACGATTTCTTCCAGCCTGGCTAAATATACGTTCCACACTTTAACACATATATTTATAAGGATTGTTATATATATATATATATTTATATATATATATATATATATATATATATATATATATAATAACTACTATATATAGCGTGCATGTGTATATAGATCATGTAGAGTCTATGATATAGATATATAGATGTCAGAGTGATGTGAGTTAACCACCTTTTAATGACTCAATTAGCCAATGGTTATCTTAACATCCCGCTATCCATGACTAAACAAGAACAAATGTTGATAAGAGAGATAAACAAGAATGTCAATGTGAAAATGTGTGTGTGTGTTTTCATCACAGTTTTCAATTTTTAAATGTTGACATTATCTTATTTTTGCTTAAAATTTTTCTGGTACTTACAGGAAAAATTTATTACTTATAAGTACAAGTACTGAAAAATGTACTTAAGTATAAGTATTTAAGTACAGGTTTTCATATGTACTTAAGTATAAGTACCTAAGTACTACATTTGTACTTAAGTACGTACTTAAGTACAAATGTACTTAAGTACTCGTCATCACTGAGAAATATATATATATATATATATATATATATTTACAATATTCTATAAATTCTACCGAATGTTTGGCGTTAATATGTTTGTAGTTCGTTTAAACGAATATTGTAAAAATTATGGTCTATTACCAACATATATATATATATATATATATATATATATATATATATATATATATATATATACATATATATATATATATACGTAGTTATAATACATTTATAATATTGTATTAACACATTCAAATTGTACAATTGTGTTATGTGTAGTTTCAAATTATTTTGAATTCTCTCGGAAAAATTTAAACTTTTTACTATATATATATGTATATGTTACTTTTATCAACAATTATTAACAAATTTTCAATTTGATTTCACCGCGATATCGATGATGATGATTGTGACCTGACTGATTAAAAAGCATCAATGAAAATTTTTAAAATATGATGGAAAATTTGTTATATTGGGATATCCGTATATAAAGCGAGCAAAAGTTTAATATAAAAGCGCTTATAAATCTATGCATATTGGCTCAGCTTGGCTTGGCTCGTCTTGAAATTGGATGTTAAGCTAGATGTGGTCTCAAACTATTTGGAATTCTCTCAGAAAAATTTGAACTGCGTGCGCACATATGTAGCACTGATTATTGTTGCTTCAATAATGAATTTATATACTATATATATAAAGCGAGCAAAATTTTAATATAAAAGCGCTTATAAATCTACGCATATTAGCTCAGCTTGGCTTTGGCTCGGCTTGGAATTGGATGTTAAGCAAGGTGTGGTCTCAAACTATTTTGAATTCTCCCCGAAAAATTTGAACTGCGTGCCTACATATGTAGCATTGGTTACTGCTGCTTTTATAACGAATTTATATTATATTATATATATATATATATATATATATATATATATATATATATATTAACTAGAATCCATGTATACAAATAATTAATAAGATTATATGTTTATATAAAAAGCAATATAGCAGATTCAATCAGCTAACCAGAAAGTTTCGAAGGCGTTCGATCGTTGACGTCAATTTAGTACGGTTAGCATTGTTGTTAAGACTGTATAATAGTGTACTACATACATTAAAAAGGTTTTTTACTGATGTGAATAATTGAAATAATGCGAATGTATTGTTGAAACGAGTATAAATAGGAGCTGAGACAGCATGAAAATCAGATCAGGCATTCTGCCTCGCTTAAGGTTTGAAGCGGTCTGCCTGATCTAATTTATTTTTTTTATTTTATTTATTTTTTTATATAGAGTTATATAGATTTATATAGAGTTGCGCTGCTATACATATTTGTCTGTGGTTTGTATGTTTGTATTTTTTAATTTTAGGTGGGTTCTTTAGCGGTTGCTCATACATACATACATACATACATTATGTTTGTTTTTTG